TCCGAGGCGCGAAGCGATGAGGCATTATTATATCAGTTGTAGGCTTTTTTATACCAAAATGACGAGTTGAGCCCTGTGCGAAACGAGGAAAATTTTTGGTATAAAAAAGCCTACAACTTATATAATAATTCCGTCGTGTAGGCTCGACTCTCGTAAGTGCTTTTGACGTTGTTTTCGCAGTCCAATCCACCAGGATACCCGATTGGAATGATGCTCACGGGGACAGGGGTCCAAGGCGTGACCGTGGGCTGGGGCGTGGGACGAGGCGTGGCGATGGCACCGGTGCACTCGCATGAATACGTCGACACGCCGTTGTAGGTCGACGCCCGCCAGTCGCGCTGCGCGCCACAGCAGTTCGAGCAGGCTTCGTTTGCGTCATCATACGAGATGCCCCCAGGGAAGACGATGTTCGTACAGTCGACCGCCCAGGGTGTCGGCATTGGCGTCGGTTCGGGTGTCGGCCGTGGCGTCGGCTCGGGCGTCGGCTGCGCCTGAGGCGTCGGCTCGGGCGTCGGCCGAGGCGTCGGCGGGTGCCAGAGGTTACAGTCCTGCTCTTCCTGACCTATGGAGCGAGCCAGTGTTACGAGAGTCGAGGTTGAGGACAACGTACAGTATTGGCCAGAGGAACTCGAGGAGCCGCAGCAGTAGAAACGCGTGCTCGAGACGGTGACCGAATTGCCGGCGTTGAAGCCGCCCGTGGACCCTTGGCAGTTGTACGAGCCTGTCGGCAAACAGTCAGTCATCGTCGGACGAGGTGTCGGGGCTCGTGTGCCGTCGCAGTTCGTCAGAGACGCGTACGCGAGCGACCACGCATAGTCACAATAGTCTCCATCCGAGCATCTAAAGTTCTCGAGACAGCATGTGAACGCGCTCAGGCATGTAGCGTCCGTCCACGTCTTATATTCGGTACAGGTGAAGAAATTGTCATAGCTGGAAGAGCCCGAGTCTTCGTAGCAGCACTGGTAGCAAGCCTCTCCCCAAAACGACCCACATCCACTCGCCGATGTTTGAATAGACGACATACAGTCGCTACAATCTGAATTCGATAGCTTATTGTTGTTCCCATCGCAAACCTCGCCGCCAAGGACATGACGTCCACCAACAACGAACACCAGCACAAGCACCCAACCTTCGCGCATATGCACCATCTTTCACTTGTCGTAGACCTTGAGGCGCCCCGCGCGGCGCCGGCCGGGCCGGTTCAGCCGCCGCGCGTGGACGACGCGCGCGGGCGAGCCGTCGCGGCGCGCGACGACGCCGGA